GTTGGTGGGCAAACGAGTCCGTTGGACGAGTCGCGTCAACTGGAGAACTCAACCGCTCTGACTCAGAATTCTATCCTATCCGGCAAAGTATCGGTCTTTTACCGATAAAGAGGCTGTCGTCGCTGTCGCCTCGATCGCGGCTTCGCCGTCTCATCGATTCCCTCCTCGACTTCAATTCGATATTTGCGGTCGACACCCTCCTCTTCTCCAGCTGATTCCAAGATCGTTTGTGCCCCGTTGTCGTGTAATCGAAACTGATGGATTTCAATTTTTAGGGTTTTTTAATGTCCTTGGCTGTGCCCTTTTAAAGATCCCATCTTTCGGTATGATTTCTTTTTTTTTTTTTCTCCCAATCTTGTTTTGATGTCTACTTATATTAGATGTTGGTTTTACTTATGTTTTCTTATATTGTACAATCTGACATGCTTCCTCATTTTTTGATGGTGCACCAATATGCTCTCTAACTTTTTCGCTATTTTAAAGATTTATTGTATCATTTAGTGATAAAATTTGACATCTTTATGGATGAATTGATTGCCTAGTGAATCAGAAGTTTATATCTTTGATTTTTTTTTTCCCCCCTTGTGATCTGACTGTTCTATGTATTTTTCTTAGCAATGATCAAAATGGTATTTTGTGATGGCATTGAACTTTTTGTATTTGATTCTCATTTTCTTTTTCTGTTCTTGGTAATTTCAGATTTTCGTGTTGAACAATGAGTAGAAGCAGCATAGATGATGACCGGGACTTCACCAACTCGGTTAACACTGTTAATACTTTTGTTCTTTTTGGAAAAACTGGCAATGGAAAAAGTGCAACTGGCAATAGTATTCTGGGCAGAGAGGCATTCTTGTCGAGGCTTAGCTTGTTTGGCGTGACGAGTACTTGTGAGTTGCAAAGCACTACGTTGAAGGATGGTCGGATTGTGAATGTCATTGACACACCGGGTAAGGTTATATTATCTATGATTGATATCCATTCCACAAGTGTCTTCTTTTGTTCTTGGTAACATCATTGTTTGCATTTGTAGGACTGTTTGATAGTTCTGATGAATCAGAGGCCACTGGCAAAGAGATTGTTCGATGCGTAAATTTGGCAAAGGATGGCATTCATGCAATACTTATGGTTTTTTCTGCTAGATCACGTTTCTCACCCGAAGAAGAGGCTGCAATTGAAAGTCTCAAAACCTTTTTCGGTGAGAAAATCCTTGACTATATGATTGCAGTTTTTACTGGTGGAGATGATCTGGAAAGCTGTGGCCAAACTCTCAAGGAATTCATAGGTTGTACAAAGCATCAGTCCCTACAGGTTTCCTTTCTTCTTTTGCCTATTCAGTTAATATTCAAGTTCTTTCATATGGTCATGCATGTATTCGAGAAGAATAATTGTCATAGGTAGGCCTATGATATGAATCTCATGTTAAATAAGGTGCCTGTGCATTATGTTTGCGAGATGTCACTTATGGATGGTAACGATCTTTGTGTCGTCATGCTCTGATTCTGCCAACTTATATGGTTTTGAAGAAACATAAGTATTCTTAAAGTGCTAATGCAGTCTGTTTGTTTTATTTTGTTGCTGAACTTCTTTCAGAAATTTCTCGAATCCTGTAAAAGTAGGATCGTGCTTTTTGATAACAAGACTAAAGATGAGACCAAACGAGCTAAGCAGATGCAAGGACTTTTATATCTTGTGGATTCTGTCATCGCAAGCAATGGCGGAAAACCATTTTCAGATAAGCTGTTTGTTGAACTTAAGGTAAGGAGCCAATTGTGCACCTTCGCATTTATGACACTAAATTGTATTGTTTTAAAAAAAAAGAACTATGACAATGTAGATAAGTCTTTGATTGTCTCTTCATTTGTTTTTTTGTTTATTTACTTCTTTTATCCCTTTGGGGACAGGAAGGAGCTTTGAGGCTCCAGCACAAGGAGAAAGAGGTTGAATCTATGAAAGGATATTCTGAGCAACAGATATCTGCATTGAAGGAAGAAATATACAGTTCCTATGATGATCAGCTTGCACGAGTAACTGAAATGGTATATTGTATTTGTTCCTTTTTCAGAATATCTCTATACTAACATCGCTTTGTGGAGTCAGATAGAAATTGACGTGTATACTACATGTAAAATGATGAATCTAATGTCTTTAACTTTCTAGTCTGTCACATATGTATTTCATTACGTCAGCAGCCAGAAGAAACCGTATCTAAATTTCTGGAAACAAGCAAGAAGGCTGATTTTCAGTTTATTCTAGTGACAATTGCCGTAGATTTGATGCAATTGAAATACCATTGTGATGTATGAAATCTGAATAGACCCTAGATAACCAGAAATAAACATTAAAAGTATTTATTGAATTTATATGAATAGCCACAAGTTTTAGTTGCACTGAAGTAAAGTACGATGGTTTCATATATTGCTGGGTTCTTCACCAGCACAAGTAGCATCTAAATCAGAAGCGTTTTTTATGGGTAGATTCTATGGCTGGTCAAAATGCTTGGAATCAGGGTTCTTCACCGGCAAGAGAAGCGTCTAATGAAGACACCACACTTAGATGCTACTTGCATGTACAGATAACGGAAATCTATCTATATTTCTATATATACAACTGAAAGGACTGACTGAGAAATAATATATGGAGCCTCTATAGGAGATTCCACAAGTACCATAAATTTGGATTATTGCATAACTCGAACTATGTTTACAAGTGTGCTGTTTGTTCTAAATTCCATCACATCTAATTCATATGGTTCCTCGAATTAGCATTGTTTTGGCGATGGTTTTAGACTTATAGATTTAAGCATGAAGTTTTTCTGTGGCACATAAATGTGAAGAACATATTTGATCAATCATTGTGATCCTGCTGCATAGGTTGTGATATTGATTCTGCAGTTTTCTCATTTCTAAATGTGTTTGCAGATAATGTTTTAATTGTTTCTGTGATTTGTGTAAACAACTTGCAAGCTGCAATTACATGTTATCTATTGTGTTGTTTATAGAACATGGACATTAGTTTAATCCATCATTGTCACTTATTAAGTCCACTTTGAGGTGGATTTTGCTATTTGTGATAAATACACTTTAACGACGTCATTGTTTATAACAACATACTGGTTTTGTGTGCCCATGGAAAGTTTCACGTTTGTAGTTTGTACTTCTCAAGCCTTCTCAAACATTTTGGCATTACCAGCCTTTCCTGTGTGACTTATGTTTTGAAAATAATATTCTTCCTGGGTATTGTTACTCACGTATTCCAGCCAAAATAGTGTACTCCACATAAAACTGCACCCTTTATTAGAGTTCTTCATCTAGATTTGCAGCATTTGGCTGTGATATTTTTCTTTGACGATTATATCTTCATGGGCTTTATTCTCCATGAGTGAACTTTGGTGCTCCATCAATTGCTCTCTGCATTAATTTGTTTTCATTAAGATCTGTGACACTTCGTTCTGTTGTCTTCTCTTTATGACAGTATATCACTTTTGAGTTCCTTTTCTGGCTCCTTTGTAGGTCGAGCATAAGCTAATGCAAACCGTGGAGAAACTCAAGAAACTGTTGGCCGAAGAGCAAGCTGCACGCCTAAAAGCAGAGAAGATTTCGCAGGAAGCCACAAAGAGGTCAGGCAAAGAGATCGATAGGCTAAGGGCGAACCTGGAGAGAGCTAAGAAGGATGCCGAAGAATTCAGAATGCGTGCCGAGAGTAAGAAAATGTGTGTCTACCTGTGAAATCTCATCGGCCGGTTCCATGGTTGCATTTGTCTAGTAGTTTTCGGCTAGTTATAGATTCTAGATTTCACTATGAGAAATTTTTCCTCATATATGGGAAGAACTACTTAGCACTTGCATCTATATGGTTTGCATCATGTGTTATGTGCAGTCATTGTTAGCTTTTAATCTTTTGGTATATTTGTCCATAGCTCATCTCCTCTTGGTGATTGTAGATATCTGATGAACATGGTAACTACATTGTTGGTTCATCTCATATTAAATGGTGTAAGTCATGCTTCTCCATTTTAAAATCTTTATAAAGGAATCTTAAAATTGGAAAATACTCTCAAATAAATTTAATGATTATGGATGTACAAGATGCTGATTCAGGTGTATAAATCTATAAAAGAAATAATTTATAGGAATCAGGTGATTATGGATGTCAAAAGATTGTATGGGACCCTATAATATGGTTGTTATTAGCAACAAAAACCATGTTTAAACTTGCCAATTTATACACCCTTGGAATCATTATAGAATCATCCTTTATGGTGATCTACCAATCCTGGATTGGGTCTTATTCTTCTAAGTGATGCTGGAAATTAAAAGTAGATTGTCCCTTGCACTATAATATAATTATTAGTGATACTTAACTACTAATTTGCATGTAAAATTTATAGAACAAGATTTTGATCCCTCAATCTAAAATAAATGAGATAGGTAAATATTCATTACCAAGTAGAACAACACAATCCCATGCATTACTAGGAGATGCATAAAACTTCATTTCCAAATTTCAAATCATCCAAAAACATAAATTGATGTAAACAAGACTTCTTGTATCTTATGTTTGATCTGCTTGGATGTATATTACTTTTCAACAACTATTCCAGTTTCTAGAATATGGATCTTCATAAGAAAAGCTAATCTGGCAGATCAGTAACACATCAATTTTCTATCCACAAACAAGGAGGAGTGACATGATAATGGCAAGCAGTTCTTGTTTGGACTTGGATGGGACCTATGTGTATGCAGCATGTCTGGCACAGAAAGGTAGCTTTGCTGATGCATTGGAGCTTTGCTCCTCTGGTGGAGTTTCCATTCATCAACCCACAACACACTTTGTTTAAACCACCTCAACAGCAGCTGTGCTATGATGTGCCAATCCACCACTTCAATTTGTTGTTTTGTTCACAGCGTAGCTGATGATGCCCTCTCTGATGAGAACAACCAAGAAAGAGAAGAAGACAGGAGAATGCTGCTGATGGAATTAGACCTGACATTGGTGTGGAAGTGTGATGCATCACAGCCAAGCATTAAACAAAGAAAAAGTTTACCAGCACTAAGTGTTTTGGTGTGGAATCGACATGATCATCTCATGCTTCCTCTTCTTTTACCTATCCTGATGCAAGCTCAAGAGTACAGATAAAGAATCATGGAAGAGGTGATGGCTCTTTACAGAATGTCCTGATCGGCTGCAACGTGCTTGGAGGAAGTGAAGTTGAGGTGGTTAATGTCTTCTCCATGGGGACCTGGTGGTAGATCAGCCGATGGAGATTGGCTGCTACAGTACCATCTTGAACAGAGGAGGTAGCTGAGGAAGTTGAGGAGGCTGAGGGCAGCCATCAGCCAGTAGAAGAGGTCGAGCCTGTCCTTGTTGAGGTCATTGTCGCTGAGCCAGCCATCCCTGGATGAGCTCGATGTGATCTTGTTCACGAGAGAGACGAGAAGGGAGCTCAAGTAGAACCCAAAGGAGTAGGAGCAGTAGGTCATGGCTGTCAAGAAGGACTGCATGCCAGCCAATGACTGCTTGTAGAAGAACTCGATGAGGCCGACGGCCGTGAACATCTCGGAGACCCCGAAGATGAGGAACTGCGGGGCGATCCAGAAGATGGAGAGCAGCTCGCCGGAGTCGACGTACGTCTCCCTTCTCTTCCTCTCGATCACGGCGGCGGCGACCATCGAGAAGGTGACCGCGAAGAGGCCGACGCCGATGCGCTGCAGGGGGGTGATCCCGGAGCTCGTCCCGGTGAGCTTCCGGGCGAGGGGGACGAAGCATGTCTCGTAGACCGGCACGAGGACGATGAGCATGATGTAGGGGATGGCTTGGAGCGACGCAGGGGGGACGTGGAACGAGGTGGCGAGGCGGGTGTTCATGGCGCTCCCCTGTTGCACGGAGAAGGTCTGCAGCTGCGCCAGGATGGTGTTGAAGATGATGGTGCATGCAAAGATGGGGATCACCGAGATGATGATCTTGACCTGCTCGACTTCGGCAGCAGTGCAGAGTCTCCATGAGCTCTCCTTCATCCCACTGCCATCCCGAGCTTCGATGCAGGCTTTGTCCAAGAACCTTCATCACAGGCAAACTGGCTGCCATTACGGATGTATGATCAGAGAGATCTTAAAGGTTGTAAGGTTGTGTGCATGCTCACCTCAACTTGTTGGTACGTGGAAGGTTGCCCACATATGAAGAAGAGGGTTCAACATCACTAGAATTAGATGGGCAGACTTGCTTTCTCTTGGTGAATGCAGCTACGAAGACCTGCATAATGATTTTGCAGGGCCAAACTGAGAAAGGTCAGAACAAGATGTGTGCATGGTTTTGAAGTTGATGTTCTATATCTATGGCACACACATTGTAATAACATCATGGCTTGGAACAGTCTCCATCTGTTCTGGTTTAGCTAAAGAAAAGGTTTGAGAGAGATTTATCATTGGTCATTTTGGAGAGTAAGAAGAAATGCTTACAGGTATTGATGATTTGTTGTCATGACAAGTATCCTAAATGATGAAAGTTTCAGGCCACTGTAAACTCAGATCTACAGATAGATTGTAGGCTCTGTTCATCCACCTGGAAAATTTTTATGTTGGACAAAAACTACAATCACAAGGCTCCAAAACACTAGTCGAATAAATTCTTGGAGTTGACATATCTTTTGTTGGTGATGGGCTAAAGAATCGACATGCTGACATCAATCAATCTATCAAATCAATCATGAATTATCTGTCCCCCAATATATATGAAATTTCTAGTCCTGGAAACCTGACCAACTTGAGGGTTAAAAGTTAACAGAGATGATGTATATGGTGATGCCATAGATTCTTAGCCTTTTTCTGAAAATGACAGGAGCACCATAAAAGAATTTGTTTTTCTGTATCTCAATCATAAGGATTGAAATTAACTGAAGATTTTTCAGTAATTAGGGAGTAATCAGTTTATGCATCTTAATCCTACAGGCAAGCATTTGCTTGGATCAGTTGACTATGCTGTGCAAGAAAATGGAAGTGTTGGATCATACCCTGGCAATTGGAGTAAAGATGCTGCCTTGGGGGGGCTTATTCCTGTAGAAAAAGGCACCAGAGATTAAGATGGCAAGCCCCATTGCCATGGCACCTGCTGATACACCAAAGCCCACATCCATCCCTGACCTTGTCTGCACCCAAACAAGGACAGTGAGAGCAATGAGCTCCCCTACACAGAAGCTGAAGTAGGCTGTGTTGAAGTAAGTGGAGAGCTTCTTGGAGTGACATGGGTCTTCTTTCCTGAACTGGTCAGCTCCATGGGAGATCATGTTAGGCTTCAGGCAACCACTTCCCAAGGCCACCAAGTAGAGAGCAAGAAAGAAGATGGTGGCCTTGAAGCCTTTGGCCTCCATGCACTGCTCTTCCTTGGATATCATGTTGCATGGTGGTGGCCTCAGCTGTGGCAGATGTGCTTGGACTGATAAAAGTATGAATCCCTGCCCAGAAACCAATGAGATCAGACTCATTTTGAGAAGCACCAATACATGTTTCTTTCTATTCTTTTGGAACATTCTTCCTTCTTATCTTCTCTGGTCTGTAGTGGATTGCATCTTTTCATATTAAATGAGATCTACTTCAAAGAGGTGAGAGTGGTTTGTTTCCTATTGTTCCAATTGTGAATTAGGATACTGTATGCAAAAGGAATCATCTGCCTTCCAAACAAGTTTCATTGGGCACCTTTTGTGGTGTCAAACTTCATTTGTGTTATATGAATGGCCAGAATAATAGGAAGACTATAGATCAATATTCCTTCATAAAGTGAAAGCCAAAGAAATGATGATGCATGAGGAGAAATGAGACTTACTGATAGTTCCACAAATCCAAAAACCAGCATGGTCCAGAAGCTCCCCAGATAAGAATCTGAGAGGAATCCACCAAACAGAGACAGCAGGAAGACAGTGCCTATGAAGTTGGTCACTATGTTGGCTGATTTGGACAAAGGAAAATGCATATCATTGAAGACATATGTGATGAGGTTGTTCCCAACTGCAGCAATTGCCATGATCTCAAATGCTTGAATGGCTGCAGAACAGGAAGAACTGTAGTGAGCAAAAACACCAAAGAAGCTACCTTTGGCAACTCAATCATTTTCTCTAATCATAATACAATAAGCAACCAAAGACCATCTCAGGATTTCTGAATCTAAGCACCAGGCAGATGCCTTGTATATTCCAATAAAGTACAGACCAACAAGTTTAGCTACCAATATGTTGCTATGAAGCTAAAGGACTTCCTCATAAAATAAATAGCAACTAGAGTGGCTACTGATATCCAGCAAAGAAATTCTTCAGAGAGAGGGAGAGAGAGAGAGAAAGAGAGAGAGAGAGAGAGACCTAGCACAAAGACAGCAGCTCTCATGCCACCATGCTTGTTGGGCTTGCATGGTTTTCCTTTCCAATCAACAAAGACTCCAGCATGCAGGGAATCCCCCTTGGAAGTATGACCTGTCTGAATGTCCATGCCTCTTGCTTCACACAATAACACCTTCTTTCCTCTGCCTCAGCAGAAGAGGATCCCTTGGAAAGCTCACAACCAACAGAACAAGGTAAACCTCCCCTTCCAAGAGGGCTCCAATTATCCCAAGGCAAGCTGATGCAGTTATTTATAATAGTGTGCTGTGGAGGGTGAGAGGAAGGTGGGGAGAGGTGGTGGGGCTTTTTTGTTGCTGTGATATGGTCCTCATTGGTGGAAAGATTTATGGTTTGAACAGTCCTATGGCTAATGGGAGTCTCTGTTGGAGGTTCAGACTTTGCTGTGCCTTTGAATGTGTGAAGTGGGAGAGCAGCAAAAGAAATGTGCCCCCCCACCCCCCATACACAAAATTCTTGGAAGACCACAACACTTCATTCGATTGTGTCAATCACCTGGTTGATGAGCATGAACTGAAATAATACCAACTTAGAACTTGTCATAAAGCTCAATCCTCCTTCTCTGCACATCATTCATTATTTGGTGGCTGGTAGATTTGCTAGTTCCAAACAAAACAATGGAGGAGTCCCAGATGATGCATGCATCTATCGAATGATCAGCTTGAATTTTCCACCGAGTTAGTGAAACCTTAACTTTACCATCTTGATTCTGGAAGAAGGAGATAGGTAGGAACCTTGTTCCACCTGACAATGGACATATATTGTATCGATACAGATAAATCATTCTGGCTGGCGTTCATGCTCTGTACAGCTTCTGTCTTGTCCGATCCAGCAAGCAGAATATGTTCCTGATACCTCTTAGCAGCACAAATGTGATGGGACATTTATCATGCTGCTGATTTCCCAAGAAAGATGGTTGCAATGTTGTAGAAGGAGCTAAATGCTTAGTTACAGTAGTGAGATGTAATCGATCACCTTCTTCTGATCCTGGGGAATATTTACGTCCATTCCACTTGAACAACATGAGCGATGTCAAAGAGCAGCAGCAGCGTGACTTCATGGACAGATCCATTTGGACATTGCTGTGGGAATCCCCTCTCAGATCGAATGATCTATGGAAAGCGAAGAATCCATATTTGATTCCCTTAGAAGGCTGACATGGATATGAAGGAACCTTGTTCCATCTGACAACGGGCATAAATCGCCTGACACAGACAAATCATTTTTGGTGTTCATGCTCTGTGAGAAGCAGCAGCAGCAGCTTCTGTCTTGTCCAACCCAGCAAACAGAACATGTTCCTGAAATCTCTTGAAGAGGACAATCGTGATATTACATTTATCAGGCTTCTGATTTCCCCCAAAAATGGTTATCGTTCCATGCAAGTAGTGGGATATGATCATCACCTTTGATCCCAAAGGAATACTTGCATCCATCACCAAGAAATGTTCTTTTCCATTTGGGCACTGCTGTGACAAACCTCTCTTCGATTTCCTCATAGCAATCATTGGCACAACTCATCTGAAGTCCACCTGAAGGGTATCACCAAGGCTTGCCATAGAACATGCTCATCTTTTCTACCTTCTCTGCTTTCGATCAACTTGCATCTTGGAGAATATATTCCGGCATGAACTATGTATTCCTTCATGCTGCAAACTCACATGAAGGAATCTAGTGAGAATTCCAGGGATGTGCTGATCATTAATTAACAATAGAACTCACAACATTTTCCACACTGGTTGGTAGTGCTGCACTCCTACTAAACCACCACCACCACCACTCTCTCTCTCTCTCTCTCTCTCTCTCTCTCTCACGACAGCTTTTCACCACTTAGAATTCCTGCAGCTGTCATTTCATATATTTACCTTCCCCACTTTGAGTCCCCTGTTTTACCAATTACCACTTCCCACCGCATTTGATCTTTCTTGTTGTATGGACATGGCAGGCCATTGTTGACTGGTGACTCAGAGTACAAATATAAATATGGATCAAAAGGAGGAGATGAAGATGCTCCTCAACTGGACGTCGAGAAAAGTTTGGATTTGACTTTGAGAGAATTCAGCAATCAGCATCATATTTCACTGGTTACAGTGAGAGAGAGAGAGAGAGAGAGAGAGAAGTTTGGACCACAGTGATGGGCTCTTATGGGGCCCAGCCCAGGATTGAGTGGATAAGGGAGCAGGTATGACATAGAAATCCTGAAATATAATGAGACATCTGATCCATTTCAATGTGATCTTGTGGGTCCTACCAGATCCAAGAAACCCACATAATCTGGTGGGTGTCTAAAGAAGGGTTTCAGAGGGCAGCAGCACTTCTCCTCAACTATGCTGGGTCAAAAAGACAGTACCAAGAAGATGATGCTCTCTTCTGTGTTCTACATCTCTGGAGTGCAAATGAATGCAAATGCCTTATCATGGTTCCAAGAGATGGACTACTAAGAATTCAGAGAGAGAGAGAGAGAGAGAGAGAGAGAGATGGTGCTGTCTTTGACGAGGGATGAAACTGGCCTAAAGAGGGAGTCGGGTCCTCTTTCATGCATGCGACACACAAGTCTATCTATAAAATGCAACCTTTTTTCTGGCCTAACTTGTATCCTGATGTAGCAGACAAGAATGCAATCTCAAGAGTTGTTTATTCCTAATGGAAAGCCAGATCGTAGCGTGTTAGGCTCAACTTTGATTCAACCACAAGTCTGTCTATCTATGGTGTAGAAATGGTGGGGCTGTTCTTCTCTCTCTCTTTCCGCCGTGATGTGCCCAACAGTAGTGGGAAACCCAAAAGTCAACTCTGAGTTGAATCTCGGTACCATTGCGCCTCGGATAAAACAAGCAAACATATTTGTGCCGACCGACAGCACTTTGTATTATAATCTACGACAGGAAATGTTTAGATGCCTAATGGGATTAGTTGGTGGGAGAGCACACACAAAAAGGTTGTGCATTGTGCCTCTACTCTTACTTCTCTGTCTCGGTCAGTTGTTGCTTCGGGTCCACGGTGGTGTCTTCTTCCACAGGATCTGCTGTCCTCGGTGAACGATCCATGGATGATCGTGGGATAAGCTTCGGAGATTGTTCGTGCTCTTGCCGACGGTGTTGGTCGCCGAAGTCGCTCGGAAGATTCGTACGAGGAGATGTGGTGTTTGGATTCGGGTTCGATTTCATGTGATGGAAATGGAGGGGGAGACGCGTGGCCCGGTTTGGTCTGTTCTTTCGGTGGGGAAAGCCACTGCGGTTGACCTTTTGATTCTTTTACGCGTGGAGCTGTAAGACACTTCGGATTATTAACGCGAAGGAAAGCATGGATGGAAAGAACGAGTTAGGCTCCATCCCTTGCTTTTAGTTGAAGTGACATGCAGAGAGGAGGAAGAGGAGGAGGAAGAGACGTCAGGGATGTCGCATGCAGCCATCCATTTGACTCGAGGAGCAGGAGAAGACCTTGATGGGGTTGTCCACTAAGTCTGGGACACTAAGAAGAGAGTCGGTAGGCTGGAACATAGAGAAGAAAACTGGATCACGTTTTCGCCACTTGTACTCTCTCTCATAGCAACTGGAGATCGATGCAGCATATCACCTGAAACTTCAACTCATTTTTATATCTCAGAAACGAACTTCCAAAAGCTCGGAGATCAATGAGATGATGGAGAAGAAATGCAATGGGAAAAATGGAATCTGTTCACACAAGAATAAACAGAAACAGATGATTGAAATATGTGGCAAAGGATAAAAGTGGACACAACGATAAAGCTTTGCAGGAGAGAAATATTTTAGCTAAAATGTTTGATCCATATACTTGCTGGTGTTGGGCCGGGTCAACTCCACATAAATGGTCAAGCAACACATTTTAACTGATCTAAAGAACAGAAAACAGCATAAGCAGACACAAAAGGTGCGGCTAAGTAAATTAAATCTTCTCCACTGTTCCTAAACTGTTTTTTTTTTCCTTTTTGGGTCATGTTTTCCGAGCATAAGATTCCACTAGGAGACACTGAAAAGTATACTTGTCGACGTCAAAACTAAGAAAATTCAGTAGATATTTCCGAATTCTATCCGTTTTCTAGGGTTTTTTAGTCCTAAGAGTTGCTACAGGAAGCATGGAAGCTACTAGGAGCATACTTCTCCATCAATTTCGTCAGTGCAGCATCAAATTTCTTCTCCAGCTCAACTTCATCTGCCAGATATTTCCGCCTAAGTTCAGCATTATGTTCTTCATGTGCAAATATCAGTTTCTCTCTTTCTGCCTCAAATTCTTCAACTCCTTTCTCTTGGCTGTCGATGAACCTTGCTATCTCTTCCTTCCTGTAAAAAAGGAATAAAAATGACTTAACAAAGGTACAAATAAAATCTAAGCAAACACAAACCATCTAAAAGAAATGGTTAGGAGCTCATGATTAGAAATGGAAGAACATGAGAGAGAATATTAGGTACCATGTAAATCCACAAAATGACCTAGGAATATAAAAAAAGAATCGACACATTCACCATGTATCAATCAGAAAAGAAAACAAATGTTATAATAACATTTGCTAGTGTAATAAAATGGTCAAACTATGTGCTGAAACATATAAGAATAAATATACTTAATATAGAGTGGTTGATCTTGTAAAATGAAGCACTTGATGCATCTTATGCTACATAATAGTGAACACGAGGAATACCTAAGCCTCTGCTCTTCATTGGTTCCACAATTTACATCTGAATGCTTCGCCTTTGCCCGCTCCTCTTGCAGCAACTTCTCATAAGTTCTCTCTTTCTCTTCAGTTGCCTTATGAATTTTGTCCATTTGTTCCTTGAAAAATTTCTCTTGATAGTCCATCTAAAAAACACCAATACAATAGAAAGGTCAGAGACCACAGATAAAGGAGTTCCAGATTAATCGCTTAGAAAGGAGAAACAAACTTGAGAGGGCATCCGGAGTTCCTAAAAATGCCAAAATTCCTCAAGTATGTAGTCGTCTTCTCAGATTATATCCACCAAAAGAATCAAAATACAACATTGCTATATAAAATTTCTCATGGAACATTTGGGGCTGCTAAAAATTCCATTCCCTAAAGGCTGTCCTCAGATATGACAATAATCTTAAAGGAATTAAGAAACAATATTATGCACAACCAAACAATTCCCGTGAGAAAACTTTTGACAACAATAGATACACGAAATTTATGTCATAGTAATAACGGAGAAGAGACATTACCTCTTCTTTGTTTTCTTCGTGTTGGATCTTGGTCCTAAGCCTCACAATCCTGTTCTCTTCCATGGTTTCACGCAATTTTTGGGTTACCACTCCAAAGGTCTCTTCAAGTGCCTTGGATCGCTGCTCTTGCTTAATGACCTTGTTTTTCAGCCAAACTAATTGCTGGTTATC